GTCCATCTGATGTACAGGTAGACTACTGTTAGGTAGGAAATTCCAGAATTTTGTCCTAGTGACAGTGAGGGAGCTAGAATATCTTTCCAGCCTGCCAAATTATCACTGTGAACTCATTTCGATGATAGCACAGGTATTAAGTTTTTGAATAAGACAACATTTAGACTGATAATCCCAGACCAGACCACCAAATTTACTCTAGGGCCTGGCTAGAAATTAGCAACTTTCACTTTAAAGTAGGCAAAGTGTGAGATCCAGGGGGCACACAGAGAATAATACAAGATTCAACAGTTTTGACTGAACAATGACCTTTATGGTACGACATTAGAACAACAAACGAATCTACAATACATGTACAACTTTTTTTGTAAATCCAGAATTACTGTGTTCAATAATGGGCAATAGATGTGATGAAACATTCTACAATGCACATCAAACAGCAAAAACCATCAAGACCAATGCCACAGATTTCTCAGCATTTTCAATCCCCCCTCCCATCCCAACATTAATGGCATGCTGTGTCATCAAATCTCATGAAACTTTACTAATGATTCACAATTCTTCACTTCAAATTAATCTGGGCTTGAAGCTCCCTCTCAGGAGCCACTCAATCATGGATAGTCTCAATGACTGTTCTTGTTCTGGTTGATCACTTTCTTTTCCTGGGTCTACACTTCCCTGGACTCTGCAAATCTTATGTTATTATTCATTCACGGGATGAGGGCGTCGCTAGCTAGGCAACATTAATTGCCAATTTCTAATTGCCCAGAGAGCAGTTAAGAGTCAATCATATTGTGGGTCTGGAGTCACATGTAGGCCAGACCAGGTAAGGATGGCAGTTTCCTTTCCTATGGGATATCAGTGAACCAGATCGGTTTTTCCAACAATCGACCATGGATTCATGGTCATCATTAAACTCTTAATTCCAGATATTTTTATTGAATTCAAATTCCACCATCTGCTGTGGCGGGATTCAAACCTGGGACCCCAGAACATTTTGGGTCTCTGGATTAACAGTCCAGTGTTAATACCACTAGGCCATCAACTCCTCAAATTGTACTCCTTTACAGGCACAACTCCAGCTTTTCACAAACAGCGAACGTCAAGCTACTACCACTCCTAGCAATAATGGCACAGCGGCTCAGGGGTTAGCATTGCTGCCTCACAGCGCCAGGGACCTGGGTTTGATTCTGCTCTTGGGTGACTGTCTGTGTGGAGCTTGCACATTTTCCCCGTGTCTGTGTGAGTTTCCTTCAGGTGCTCTGCTTTTCTCCCACAGTCCAAAGATGTGGAGGTCAGGTGGATTGACCATGCTAGATTGCCCATAGTGTCCAGGGTTGTGCAGGCGAGATGGATTAGCCATGGAGATTGCGGGGTTACAGGAATAGGGCAGGAGATTAGGACTGGGTGCCTTGCCATTTGGAAGGTAGGTGTGGACTTGACGGCATAATGGCTTGTTTTCACACTGTAGGGATTCAATGATTCTGAGCTCTAATCTTGCTCAGTTGCAATGTTTTTCAACCCTGCCTCTCAGCTATACTGAATTATTATTGGCATATGGCTTATTCTGAAATCTGGCAACTCCCAGGACTTCCCCGAGTGCTTACTAAACAGAACTATTCAACTATTGTAGGACTTCTCTGAATCCATGCTACACAAAACCTGTGTAGTTTAGTAGCAGTTTAACAGCATTACAGCTTTTAAAAACAGCACTTCTAACATGGAGCCTACTCTCTAGGTGTCCTTCTCCACCTCTGCCTGTAACTTTTGAACTCCACTTCAATTACCCCAAGCTGTGGTTGAGTGAGCTATTGAAAAATTGGAATAGACTTTCCACTACTGCCAGGCAGAACTTAATGTTATTACCTGGCAACTCTAGGAACTGTGCATGCTCTGATTGTTACAATTCACATATTGCAGGCTTGTGAGCACAAGAAAATGCTACAAAAAGAATAATTCATCACAGACTTTCACAAAACACTAATGCTTAACTCTGTTTCAGAGATAGCAGGAACTGCAGATGCTGGAGAATCTGAGACAACAAGGTGTAGAGCT